GTTTTTTTATTTAAAATAAGTTATTAAAAGATCTGAATTTTGCTTATAAATAAACTGAATGACATTTAACTTGTTGAATTTCCAATGTTTCTTTGTGTATCCGGTTACATCGCTTCATATAAGAAGAAATATTTCATTTTGGGTTTTCCTGTAAATCTATCAAAGCAATGTATTTGATGTTTTTAAATAATGTTGTTTCAAACATATTATCAAAGTGCTGGTGTAGGGAGGACCGGCACATACATTGCTCTAAGACATACCTAACGGAGGAAGGCAAGGGTTTTAGGCTCTGTTTGATGTGTTTAATTGGCGTTCAACAAAATGCGAGGAGCAAAGGGTGAACATGGTACAAACAGGGTGTAAGTATACATAGCCTTATTGTACGTGTGTCTGAAAAGTTGCTTAAAATAATTCATAGTAGACAACAACATTGAAGGCTTATGGTTGTAAATATGTGTGTCAAAATTAAAATGTCAAAAGTATGAACTACGTTTTACTTTCAAGTAGGTGCTGGAGTGGATATGTAGAGATGTTAATATTTTGATTCAATGTGTATTTATGGGCCATTGTCAGTTTTATCTTTTATCAGTTTGCAGACAGTTTTATATTATCGTTTTTAATAAAGTTTTATTTTTGATACCACGTATATGTTGTATGTATTCAGCTTAGGGTGTGTGCATTATGATTCACTTCATTGATTTATATACTAATATAAAGTAAAGAAACATATTACTTGATTTACAGGAGCAGTACATGTTTCTCCACAAAGCTCTTGTACATTCACTTACATTTGATTGTGAAACTCTTACTGCAGAGGCAATTCAGGCAATAGTGTATGAAGCAGATGAACAAAAGTTCACAGATATGTATCAGGCAAGAACATTTATTAACATTATTTACATATCATTGTCGGGAAATTAATTTCAACGTAAGAAGTCTATAAATATTATTTTGTGTTTGGTTTCTGCCACGAGATATCTAAATGTACTTAGTCTTTGACGTACTTATAAGTCAAATAAGAATGCGTTCATATAAAAAAAGTTTGACCGTGCACAGCCTATCAGAAAGAAATCTCTAAAGCTTTAAAATATGATAAACAAGATCAACAAGGAAATGCGGCGTTCAATGAACGCAGCCCCCACACGATCCAGCAACAAGAGCCAGTGGCAAGGATCCCAACCAAAAACAGGACAGGGCACAAGGAAGACCATTGGCAGGTTAATCACAAAAAACATACATAAGAAGAAAAAATTAGTAACTGATAAGGAATCAAAGAAAACAAATAATAGGCCAATAAAGTCAAAGGGCACAGGGGAAGGGGACAGGAGACCAGAGAAGGACGGGTAAATAAAGAAAGAAAACTAGGGGCAAAGGGAAAGATACTAACCGTGGACGAGAAAACAACAAGGGACACAAAAGTGTCACCAAAACAGTATGAAACAACAAAGACATACTTCTGAGGAGCACAGGAAACCTTAAAAACCCGTCGCTCTGCTTTCGGTATTTTACTAACTCTTATAAGCGGTCAATGTTTATGAAATTAACTGTAGAATGGTAATAAGTACAGCTTTTAATTTGACAATCTTGTAGATTCTGCAGCGAGAGGTTAGACACAGAATGTCAGGATGATTTAGATGATCGTGAAGAAAAAAAGAAAACGCCATAACAACAAAAATAGAAGACATTCTGAGATTCCTGGTACATATTTTGTGTCTTTTCCGTTAATTGTGTACAGATTTCAAAGCACAAAATACATTAATTTAACTTATATACTTCTGAGTTGCCCAGAATCTTTTCTGACATAACTTTTCAACAGTTTAAAATTGTAAAAAAAATGCAAAGATACATGGTGTAAACAGAAAACAACTTAGATGGTTTGGTTTGTATTTATTAACTTTTAACATGTGTCAGTAAATCGTTTAAGATAATAAATGTGTGACGATGGTGCTTGATTTGGAATATAAACAAAACTGGCATAAAACGCGAAAAAAAAAAAAAAAAAAGAAAAAAAAGTAAAAAAAAACCCCTAAATTAGATTAGCTAAAATTAAAAATTTTACTACCAGAACGGAAATTTACTGTAGCAAAAATTACCCCCCTGTTTCGGTTTTGAACGTTAAAAATATTTTTTTTTTCTGAAGAGTCGCCAATTCTTTTTAAGTTTTGTATTGATAAAACAACAAACCAAAACCCCATACAAAACATTTAATAGTAAAAAAATAAATATAAAAGTTTTTGTTTGTTTTGTTTTAAAATTTGATAATGAACAAAAAGAAAAAAAAAAACTTTTTATATTTTTAAAAATCTTTGTTATTATTTTTAAGCCAATGGCGTGGTTTTTTTTGGGCAAGGTCGTTAAAACCCTGAATAATGCGTTTTTAGGTGAGAAAAAATCAACGATTAAATTTTTTATATTTAAAAAATTTGAGTTGTCACGAAATAGTAATTCTTTTTTTTAAAAAGGTGAATTGTTTTAAAAAGTATTTTGTTTTTTAAGGATAAAAAGGTAGATTTTTAAAAAAACCAAAACTGAAAAATTTAAAAAGAAAACTTGCGTTTTGGGAAATGTTGAAAAAATATTAAAATTGTAAAACGTAAATTTGAAAATTTGTATGTTTTCAGAGTTTCAAGACAAAAATTTGGTTTTTGGGGGCGGCCCCTCCACTCGCGGGAAAATTAAAAGATTTGTTTTGTATGTATAAAAAAGAACTGCGATGCGTAGTATGGGCCCCCTTTTAAAACGGGGCGATGTATATAAGTTAATTTATGAACTTTAGTATTTTTTCTTAAAAGCAAAAAATAAAAAATAGCTCTTGATACATGTATATTAAAAATATATTCAGTTTTTAAAAAAAAAAATTTATTTAATCACAAAGAGAAATTTTATTAAAAGTTAACCTAAAAAATACTATAAATTTACAGAAGTGCGTATATTGTGTCACTTATTCACTTATATCATTTTATATTTTTTTTGAGAAATTTGCCCCCATTTTACATTTTTCAAAAAGAAAGTGTTTTTCTAATTCGATTTAAAAGTATTTTTATTTTTTTTTTTTTCAAATGTTTGATAAATTTCAAAAAAATTTTATTATTTTTCTATTAAGATTTTATATTCGTTTTTTTTGTGGTCATTTTGTTTTTTGACCAGCTAATATAAATAAAATTTATTTACATTTATTAAAATTAGAAGATGGACAATATTCCCAGCTGCAACAAAAACATAATGTGTGAAAAAACTTTAGAAAAAAAAAAGCTCGCGATGTGAAACTAAACGCATTTTTTGTTGTAAAAAAAACTGACCATAACACATACAAATCAGGTACATAGGGATTATAAAGAATTGTTTCATGTGATTTTGTCTGGCGAAGATTTTAACATTTTTCTTATAGTGTGCACAAGTCATATTTTATGCAAAAATATACAAACTCGGCTTGTTTTACAGGTTGGGGAAGCACAGGTTGTCCTTAATTTTTGGGAAAATAAAACAAAATATTTGTAAACGGGGAAGAAAAAACTGTTTTTGGGAGGGGGGGGGGGCTGCATGATTTCAAAGAATTTTTTTGGGGGGAAGCAGCCCATATAACGGCCCCTGCTAAGAAAGGAAACAAGTTGTGAAACTCTATGAAGTATAACAAGGAAGTTGACGTCGTTCAAAGATACAATTTATGAACAATTTTGATCAAAGAAATGACGAGAAGTGGTTTCACACTTGGTTCAATAAATAGATAATATTTTTAATTATTACCTAGGTAATTATAATTAAATAAATAGATAGCAAAACTGACCAGAGTAGCCACTTGTGAAATCTAAAAATATCTAGATGATCACTTGATTCTTCAATGACTTCGTCAAACCAGAAACTAGAAATCCAAAACCTAACTCCAAATAGTGATGTTATTGAGCGATAAAATCACTGTTTGGGATATATTATTTCTTAACCTTTATCTAGTTTGCTTGTCATTTTTTGCAGAGTGAAGTGAAAACAGTTTATCATTTCCAATATAAGAAATGGGCGGAATCTAACACTGTTCCTGACACTGTTGAATATTTTGTTCATTTTATCAAAGATGTTGAAAAACGTGTAAATAATCATACGTCAAATAACAATACACATGTAGTTGTTCACTGCTTGTAAGTTAAAAACAATTCTGTCCTTACTTTCCCTATATTGTTATTTCAACATTGCAGGTGAAATCGCTATTTTCAGGAATATGAAATGAAAACTGTTTAAATAAAAAGTATTTGAATGTTTTAAAAACTCAATGGTTATCAGCTATTAAAATTGCAACTTTTTTTAAAAAAAAAGTATGATATAAATACTGTAAAACCTTCTTACTTTTGTGTTTTATAGTTAAAGAATCAGTAAAACAATATAAACGATAACATACTTTAGATGTCTGCCTCGTAGGCAGACTGAGATTTAAAATGTTAAATTATGAGATGCACACAGTATTTTGAGCGATTTGTTATCTTTTTCTAATAAAACAACACTGGCCGTGCCAGTTCTTTTACTATCATAAAGTTTGAAATTCACAACCTTGCTGGACAAATTATCATTATTCTTGAAAGGTAAATGGATACCAGATTAGAATGGTAAATGATATTTTTTATAAGCAGTAAATAATTAAGCTATATAAACAATTATAAATAATATTATTTGTTTAAATGATAAAGGACTGGGTATGAGAGATCTGGATTATTTTGTACCTTGTATTCACTCCTTGAGAAGTTAGAGGCTGAGCGACAAGTCAGTGTGGTCAATATGATTAGAAAAATTAGGACACACCGCCGACAAGCTATAACAGGGGTGGTAAGATTGTTTTGTTTCTTAGAACTATATTTACTCTAAATGACAATTCTGAAATGAATTCAATAAACAATATATTTATGCTAATTGGATCAATAAATGAGGAATTTTTTGATATATTATTTCAATGGTGAGCATGTATGGGGCGTCTTTCCTTTGACTATTTTCTAAAAACAGATCTTTGATCGAATAAACAGCTATAGGATTAATCGAAAATACGACATGCACATTTCAGATACGCGATTAAATGAAAAGTGTATTTTATCCGAAACATATTTTAAAAACGATGAAAAAGACATCACTTGCATGGAATTTGCAAATTATATTTGTTGTTACTTACTTGCGGGGAAGCAAACCTTTCTTGAGTGCAACAGTTTCATTGTTTTATACATGTATGCCACTGATGTCACATTTCTATTTCAGGAGCAACTGAAGTTCTGTTTCCGGTGTGTATCTGCCTATTTAGAGATATATAACACATACTCAAACTTCGCAACATGATTGTTTCAGATATATATCTGCCCATTTAGAGACATATAACATGTACTTAAACTACGCAACATGATTGTTTCTGGTTAAGAGATATATAACATTTACTCAAATTTCGCTACATAAATTTGTCCGGTGTATATCTGCCCAGTTAGAGATATATATCATATTTTATCAAACAACGCTACATAACTGTTTCCGAAGTATTTGTATACAGAGATGAATTGCACATACCAAACTACGCTACATGACTGGCTTCGGTGTAAATAATTTATGTATATAGAAATACAAACACACGTCACACGACAGCTCCTAGTGTAAACCATGTGTTGTTTTTTTTTATAGAAATGTATGCAAAACCAATACTTAAAGTACACTACATGACTGTTTCTTCTGTATATTTGCTTATAAATAGAGATATATTTCACAAACTCAAACTATGCAACAAACAAATTCTAAGAACGTGTGTAATAGACATATAATGTAATGCATGTGAATTTATTTTGAATCGCAAAAATAAAAAATGACCCAACGGAATGAAAATATATAATTGTAAACGGAACTACTTTACTAACAATACCATATTATAGTTTAGTGTTAAAATAACTATTTGAAGAATCATTGTTGAAATACATTGATCTAATTTTTGCATGGCTATTATGGATTTTATTACAACGGATAACTCACATAACGTAAAACTTACAAAATGGATTACTCGCTGTATATATTTTAGCTCGTGATGTCTCAAGTTAAACATCATCAAGATACTTTTTTTAATTATCTTATTGTAATTCATTTTTATTTTGTTTATATATTGGTTGTAGTTTATCATCAAGTTATATTCCTTCTAACACTCGTATTTTAGTTGTTATATTTCTATTCAATGTGATTTGTTCAAATACATAAACATTTTAATATACGTAGTTTTTTTTATACATTCTGTGTTATATATATGCATGTTATAAAAAAAAATCTGTATATTTTGAATTATTCATTTGTGTTTTGCATGGTATTGATAAAACAAAATATCAAACAGGAATAAGTTAACATATTTTATTTTATTTTACTCTTCACTGAACATTTTTTAAATAAAATAAAGTTCTTAGAGAGAAAGATTAAGAGCTGAAGCAAATTCTCATTCTTGCGTGCTCTCCTAACTTAGTTCAATGTTTGTGGTTCTGTATTGTGGAAGTTTAAAAGCGACTGCGTTCATTGAATGCCATTCTTCCTTTCTTCTACCTAGTGTTTGCTGTGCTCATTATTATGTATTTTCATAGCATGGGTTCCAGTCAGTCAATGTTCATCTAAATTAAAAAAAAACCTGACAGGCTCACGAACGGGCACGTATGTTATGCATAAGCAAAACATATCGACGCCTAACTCACAGGATAGAATTTTCAATGTGTTTACGATTTTTTTTCAAGCTTTATTTTTCCTTAAAATATGCAAATGGTAATCAAATACCAATCGAAAATGCATTTTGTAGTTGCCAGAAGAAGTATGAATGACCAAAATTAGTTAAACACATATACACATTCATTGATATAAAAGAGGGCTCGGCTATGGTAAGAACACAAGTATATAAATTTGCAAAAAGACAAGCAACTTTCTGATAACTTATTGATAAAGTACGCTATTCATTTTTGCCTTATAATAACTTATACAAGAAAAATAGTCTTTAGGATAATCTTTACTCTATAGTTTTGTTAACTGTTGCGTTAAATGTGCCTTGAGTGTAATTAAAAAAATACGTTATTTGAATTCCGTCTGAAGTATTATTTTTTTGTTGAAATCAGAGCATTTTGAGAGTTTTTTTTGTAAATTGACATTATGACGATGGACATTAATACTATTCCGGATATTCGAAAAGGTACATAATAACAGTTACACAACAGTGCAATGTTTAAACAACCAGTTAAAACAACCAGTTCCAACAAAGCCGTCTAGTAAATGCAAAAAAAATTGTTATTATCATTGCATATTGAGTTCCTCAACTTTAAGTAAATATCGTTGTAAAATTACCCCTTTAATTCGGGTTTTACAGACATCTTTGTGCGGCAGTATGAATGCAATGGCAGCTCTACCGATATTGTACTGTTATTGTATATTGCTGTCATTTTATGTCATTAACAACTGGGCAATCAAATCATAAATATAAATCAACGTACTATTATTCTTCCCTGGTCTCAAAAACATCAAAGCGTATGAGAAACTAAACAAATCAGTGAAATGTCTACCACTGCATACCGACACAGATGATGAATATGACCAAAGGTATCTTTGTCCGATATGTTAAACTGATGAAAGTGATATAGACACATGGCATACTTGCACAGCTTGTCTTGTATAGGAATCCTATAATGCTTGGAATCCCAAGGATTGTTTTTCTATTTTAATGCTATTCTTCTTCCGCTTGCTCTTATTTTCTTTTACTTGAAACGTTTAAAGAGAGACAGTGCCTTAGACATAATCTGTCTTATTCCAATTTTCCTTGATAAGATAATACAACGAATTGAAAATCCTAAGCGTGTTGATACGCTAAACTTTTCAATATTAATTTTATTCTTATAGTCATTCTGGTCTGTTTTTTTACGGAAAGCGTGCTTAATTTACATCTTTACAAAGTGACACGTTTCATTTAAATAATTGCCGATTTAGAGGTGTATTATGTAAAACAAAATTAAAATGGAATTGTCAAAGTTTCGTATCGAAACAGTTCATTTCGGAATTTGAAAACGATTACTTTTATAAAAAGAACAACAAACAAGTGAGGATCATCACAAATGAATAAGCATGTATGAGGTGAGTGTAGTATGGTTTTAAAATCAGCTGTCATAAACAAGTATCAATGCAAACTTTTCGTTTTTAATTTACCTATTAAACAATCTTGAAATACAATCTCAAAAGGTTTCCATTTTAAGATACTCTCAGGTATTTTATAATAATGTTATAAATAAAATGATAAATTATCAAATTATATCATTAAGTAAAATTTAGTTTCAAGATATCTTTAAGATATCCTCCATATAGGATTCCTATACAAGACAAGCTGTGCAAGTTCCCATGGGGTCTTTTATCACTTTAAACATTTAAAAAAAAAAAAACTTTATCGGACAAAAAACCCTTTTGGGGTCATATTCTTTCCATCTGTTGGGGTATGCAGTGGTAAAACTTTTAAACTGTTTTGTTTATTTTCCCTCAACGTTTTGGATTTTTTTTTAAAAAAACCGGGGAAGAATAAAGTAACGTTGATTTTATTTTTAATGATTTTGTTTCCCCAGTTTTTAAAAATGACTTTAAAATGACAGCAATTTTAAAAATAAAAAAAGGTAAAATTATGGGGTTAAGAGCGGGCCATTGCTTTCAAAACTGCCGCAAAAAGATGTCGTAAAACCCAAATTAAAAAGGGGAAAATTTTACAACGATTTTTATTTAAAAGTTAAAGGAACCCCCAAATATCCCCAATGATAATAAAATTTTTTTTGGCCATTTACTAGACGGCTTTTTTGGGAACTGGTTGTTTAATTTGTTTTTTTTTAAAACATTCCCACTGTTGTGAATGTTATTATGTACCTTTTTCGAAAAATTCGGGAAATGTTTTAAAATGTCCTTTCTTTCATAATTTTCCAATTTTAAAAAAAAACCCTCTAAAAATTCTTTTGTTTTCAACAAAAAAAAAAATTTACTTCAGAGGGGAATTTCAAATAACGTTTTTTTTTAAATTACACTAAAGGCCATTTAAACGCAACATTTTAAAAAAAACTAAGAGTAAAGTTTATCCTAAAAGACCTTATTTTTTTTCTTGTATAAGTTTATTATTAAAGGCCCAAAAAATGAATAGCGTACTTTATCAATAAGTTATCAGAAATTGCTTGTCTTTTTTGCAAAACAGGATTTTTTTCCACCTTTGACAAAATGTTTAATCATGATTTTTTTCCGCTTGTACAAATGTTTAATAAAGTGATTTTTCCCTCCTTTGTACAAATGTCAATTAGTGATTTTTTTTTTTTTTTTTTCCCTTTTGTACAAATGTTTTTAATTTTATTTTTTTTTTTTTTTTTGAATTTTTTTTCCCTTTTTGTACAAATGTTTAATTAGTGATTTTTTTCCCCCTTTGTAACAAATGTTTGGATTAAGTGATTTTTTCCCTTTTCTTGTTTTTTTTTTTTTTTCCCTTTGTTAAAATGTTTTAATTACCCCAAGTAATGTGGTAAAAAAGAATTCTGTTTGTCATTTTTGAACTTTTTACTTATATTCACTTAAAATCTTCCTTCATTGTGAATTTAAAATGAATTCTAATATGTGACAACATTCTATAAACTTCTACATACACCCAAAATTATAATGGGTATTCAAGACAAGTTGTGGAAAAAATATGTTACAAATAAATAAAAATTAAAGATTATTGTAACATGCTGTGTTGGATTTAAATTTTCTATGATATATTCAGTATCTTATTAGAATGGAGGCCGTGTCATGACAAAACCCAAACATAAGGGTTTTGGCGACCAGATGGGATCCAAGAAAGCCTTTAACTCATCCCCGCAAGTCTGATCAGGATCCATGCTGTTCGCTTACCAAACCCTATTACAAGTTAGAAAAACTTATAAGGCAACAGCCATGGATCCTATCAGACTGGCGCGGTGCGCAGGGCTGGTCTGGATCTATCTGGTCACAAACTCACTATGTTGTTTTTGTCGTGACGCGGCTCAATTATATATTTTTTCAGTTGAATTACGCCAGATACTACATACCTCAGTTATTTCCAGATCTCAGTGGAAGAATTATTTTTATCGATGATGATTGTATAGTACAGGGTGAGTCTGTCAGTTTATAAATTGATAAATCATTTTTTAATGTACATTTTCTCAGTATTATCTTTATTTAAGTTTATACATTTTACTTTTCTCAATGATTATTGTAAGTCTTCTAAGTTGGGGTGTGGAGCTCAAAATGCCTTTCAAATCTTAAATGAACTTAATATAAGCCGTCATGAAAAAATTTCCATATTTCAACATCTTTAATAATACAAGCATTATTTTAGACATTCAAATATGATTTCTTTTTTCAAAACGGCTTATATTAAGTTTTTTTTAATATATACGATAAGACACAAGCTGGGATTAACAAATATGCATTTTATTTGGATTTTAAACCCACACCCCGTATGTCTGTAAGTTATGTTTGTGAAGCAGTGCCTTCATGGCCCAGAGGTTATGGTCCCAAGCTTTTAACAAGTTGCTATAATTCATCGCTGTGTGGATATCAATCACATCCGGGACTGAAGTTGGTTTTTGTTAATGAAGGAATTTTATCTAACACATTGATAATTGATGTAGTTCTTTAAACTTGTTTGTGTTACACAAATGCTGATACTCTGCAATTTTTTTTCATCGGATGTTTCACTAATTATATCAATTTCGAATTATCATTAAAACATTGTTAAAAAAATATGAATAACAAAAATTATTACAAAATTATTCTACAGGAGATTTGTATGAACTGTTCAATGTGAAGCTGAAGCCAACCGACCACTGGGGGCAGCCTTTGCCGGAGGATTGCTACTGGATCTGCCAAGAGAGTTACCTTGATGAAGGTTGAGAATACTAATCACTTTTAGATTTTTTTTAAAAGATAAACACTGTTATATTTTCTTTCTGAAAAGAATTAAAATCTTTTTTTTTTTTAAAATGAAATAAATTATATTTTGTTTCAGACATGATATAAAATTAAGGAAAAAATTAATTTATATATACATTGTGCTTCGAATGTGACATCATTCATCACACCTGTATGATTGGAGCTCAGGTTTAGATACATGTATTAAATTTTACATGAAAGCTTTTTTAAGAAGAAATAGCAAAGTTATTTTTAGGAATTCTTTAGTACAGTCTGTTTTATAATAACTCAATAGTTGCTTACTGTTACTTCATTTGACAAATGTAAGAACTAAAGCGGCAAAAAATGTATGTAATATTTTTCTACATCGAAAGTACATTGTCACTGGACGTCAAACAAAAATATTAAGTTTGTTCTTATAAACACTAGGTTTCATCATCTATGTCTTGCCAAATGTTCTATTCAGAACTCTGTATGAACTACTCTCATGTTTACAAGAATGTTTATGCGGACCTAAATATAGAACTTTAAAGAACAAAACATGTACAGATGTTAGACATAAATCCAACAGCTTGCTCCTTCAATACAGGGGTATATGTCACTGATATAGATATATGGAGAAAACACAATATCACACAAAAACTTGAATACTGGCTCACTTTGAATACAAAGTAAATTTTATAATTTATTTATGAACAGATTTATTGTTTAACATCTGTAACCTATAACCTGATGGAACAGAAAGTGATAAGTCACAGCCTTGTCAGATTGAATGCCCATGCCGGACCTGGATTATATAGCCAGTGTTCTCCATATTGTTATAGGTGGGCAGACAAAGATGTTAATATTTTTATCATACTATTTCATTATTTGAAGGTGTATTGTCAATAACATCATGTGGCAGCATGGCCGAGTGGTTAACATGTCGGACTAGTAATCTAATAATTGCTAGTCGTATGGATTCAACCCTGTCATGGTCAAGTCATTGTTTACTTGAGACAAGGAAACTTCACACTCATTGCTCAATACTGGCTGGTTTCAGGAACAGATTTGAATGTGTATTTATAAGATTATAGCTTTCTACACCTTCAAACTAAAATAAATTCTATATAAACCAATAACATCATGTTCTTATTATTTTTTTATTCATTTTTTAACTTGTATACATGCAACATAAAGGTTAGTATAGCAGAGTCAGTAATAAATAAACTAAGATAACCTATCATCTTGTATATAGATATATGTATATTACTTTTAGGGAGGAGGTATATGGCAGTGAAAGAGGGGGAGGGGGATCACAACCACCTATGATGCTTGTCTTTCACAATAAATACACAAGTATGGACCCAATCTGGCATGTCCGCTATCTAGGTAGGTAAAAACACAATCAAAACTGTATTAAAACTTATGTTTACTCTTTGTTTACTGGCCTATATTTACCATATGTTTGCTGCCATATATGTTGGACTTCAATGGCCTGTTGGTAAAGACTGTTGACTTGTCGTGCCACTCTCAGCTGTGGGTTTGAATCTTGCCAGGGACTTTGGTTTTTTTTCATACATGGAAGCTATCCAGCTAGCTTAGGGAACATCAGTTGCTCAACTCAGCAGCCCACATATGCCAGACATAATGTGAGAAGGGGCGGCTGAGGTCTTCTCCCATCAGTAAAACTTAAGAATTCAATTGTCGTGAGCTTTAAAATGTTGGTGTGACTAAACCAAACGTAAAAACAAAACATAACTGCTCTGTATGTATTGTTTGTCAACAGGCCAATGTTTACTGTATGTTTATTAGGCTCTATTTACCATTTATAATTGTACTATGTATTTTAATGTACTGTATATAAATATAATCTTCTTTTGACCATTTGTTTATTGGCCTCCATTTATACAATAATGTAAATGAACCTATATTGATAGAATGGAAATCTAAGAATAATTTTATTTTGTTTCTCTTTATTTTAAGGGTGGACTAAAGGAACTAGTTATACATCAAGTTTTCTGAGTCAAGCCAAACTATTACATTGGAATGGTCAGTTTAAACCATGGGGACGAGTGTCACAGCATTCTGAAATCTGGAACAAATACTTCATTGAAGACCCTTTAGGAAAATTTGCACCGATTAGGAAAAGTTGATTGAGAATGTCACTTGGATCAAAATGGATTACATTGTATGTCACTCTGATCAAAATGGATTACATTGAATGTCACTTTGATAAAAAGGATTACAATGAATGTCTTTTTGATCAAAATGGGTTACATTGAATGTCACTTTGATCAAAATGGATTACATTGAATGTCATTTTGATAAAAAGGATTACAATGAATGTCTTTTTGATCAAAATGGATTACATTGAATGTCACTTTGATCAAAATGCATTACATTGAATGTCACTTTGATAAAAAGGATTACAATGAATGTCTTTTTGATCAAAATGGGTTACATTGAATGTCACTTTGATCAAAATGGATTACAATGAATGTCACTTTGATAAAAAGGATTACAATGAATTTGACTTGATCAAAATGGATTATATTTATACTTTGATTTGTTTTGATAAACTTTTTAGTAAAATACTGCTGCTATATACATGTAATTTTGTAATTTTGGTTGTGTAATGTGGATATTGTAAGAATTGTAATATTATATAGTAAGAGGGCATAGTCCTAAAAGAGGTGTATTAAAGTTACTATTAGAAGAAAATGTTAAACTATTTCTAGCTTCCTGGATTTAACACTAAATGACTTTTTTTTGCAAGCATAATACAGATTTTAGAATAATGTTACAGTAGATATTGGTAGCTGATTTTAGGGGATCAGGTATGAGCACAACAATTGCTTGTTTTTAATTAATTTGAGATCAAGAAATAGATTGAAAGTTTATATACATGGTCATAGTAATTCTTTAATTAAGTTGTATGTTTAACTACCAAGATTAATTTTGTTCTTCCATCACTTACTCTTGTTACTGGTTTAAAGTTTTTGTGACGGTATTAAAGTTTTTGTAACTGGTTTAAAGTTTTTGTGCCCCCACTTTAGTGGTGGGCATTTAGATTTAACCTTGTCCGTCCGTCCGTCCGTCTGTCCGCACTACCAAATAGGGATAGGGGGCCATCTAACTGTTAACAGAACAAAGGAGAACAATAGAATTCATTCCGTAACAATAGAGTAAGGGGCCATTGGCCCTCTATTAAACAATAGAAAATAACAAAAGAAATGGCCCCTTGTTGCATTTCGGCCGGACGGACGTCCGTCCTTCCGTCCGTCCGTTCACTTTTGTGTCACATGTAACTCAAAAAGTATTTGACATAGAGTCATGAAACTTTACAGGAATGTTGATCAGCATGTGTAATTGTGCACCTGGGTATTTTCGTCTGGATATTTTTAGAGTTATTGCCCTTGACTTAGTAAAATTTTGTAATTTTCAACTTGTGCGGCATGTAACTTAAAAAGTATTTGACCTAGATTCATGAAACATTACAGGAATATTTGATCAGCATGTGTAGCTCTGCACCTGGGTATTTTTGTCTGGATATTTTTAGTATTTTCAGAGTTATTGCCCTTGACTTAGTAAAATTTTGCAATTTTCAACTTGTGTCGCATGTAACTCAAACAGTATTTGACCTAGAGTCATGAAACTTTACAGAAATGTTGATCAGCATGTGTAGTTGTGCACCTGGATATTGTAGTCTGGATATTTTTAGTATTTTTAGAGTTATTGCCCTTGACTTAGTAAAATTTTGCAATTTTCAACTTGTGTCGCATGTAACTCAAAAAGTATTTGACCTAGAGTCATGAAACTTTACAGGAATGTTGATCAGCATGTGTAGTTGTGCACCTGGGGTTTCGCTTGTGGATTTATCCAGTATTTGTAGAGTTATTTCCGTTGACTTAGTAAAAAGGTTGACAGAACAGTGGCGCGGTGGGGGCACCCGTGTCCTATGGACACATTTCTAGTTGTTACTGGTTTAAAGCTTTTGTGACTGGTTTAAAGTTTTTATGACTGGTTTAAAGTTTTCGTTACTGGTTTAAAGCTTTTGTGACTGGTTTAAAGTTTTTTTTACAATGTCTTAGATTGTCACCTGGGAAAAATTGTAACTCTGCTTGCATTTTGATTTTTTAACTTCAAGTTTATAGAAGAAAATTGTATAAGTTTGAATTTTGATTATTGTCTAATCATATTTTATTTATATCTGTTAAAAAATGACATGTCAGGTAGGGACTTTTTAGCTCACCTGTGGGTGAGCTTTTGTGATCGCTTTTCGTCCGGCGTCCGGCCGTCCGTCGTCCGTCCGTCCGTAAACTTTTACTTTAAATGACATCTCCTCATAAACCATTAAGCCAATTTCATCCAAACTTCACAGGAATGTTCCTTTGGTGGTCACCTTTAAAAATTGTTCAAAGAATTTAATTCCATGCAGAACTCTGGTTGCCATGGCAACCGAAAGAAAAAAACTTTAAATATCTTCTTTTAAAAAACCGTAAGAGCTAGAGCTTAGATATTTGGCATGAAACATCTTCTAGTGAGTGTCTACCAAGTTTGTTCAAATAAAAGCCCTGGGGTCAAAATTGGCCCCGCCCAGGGGGTCATTGATTTTCCTTATATGTGTATAGCAAAAACTTAAAAATCTTCTTTGAAAAAACCCAAATAGCTAGAGTTTAGATATTAAGCATGAAACATCTTCTAGTAAGTGTCTACAAAGTTTGTTCAAATGAAAGCCCTGGGGTAAAAACTGGCCCCGCCCCAGGGGTGTCATTTATTAACTATATGTGTATAGTAAAAACTTAAAAAATCTGCTTTTAAGAAACCCAATGAGCTAGAGCTTAGATGTTTAGCATGAAACATCTTCTTATGGGTGTCTACCAAGTTTGTTCAAATAAAAGCCCTTGGGTTAAAATTGGCCCTGCCGGGGGGGGGGGGTGTTGGTGGGGGAGCTATATACAGGTGAGCGACTTCAGGGCCATCATGGCCCTCTTGTTTTATTTTATTCAGTATTTGATGTGAAACTTTGATATCATTATATAGAACTGTATTTTATAATAGATAAAATAGTTCTGCTTCATTAATAGCAGTGAAAATATGTGCCAAATTTATTGCATATTTATACCTAGTGTTTCAATTCTTTCCAAAAAAAGGAAATATGAAATTAATGTAAATGTTTTTGTTTACATAATTTACTGTGCTAAATGTTTTTGTCCATAATTTACCATGCTACATTTTTGTGTTCATAGTTATGCTATCATGCTAATTGTTTTTGCCTATATAATTTACTGTGCAATTTTTTTCGTTTATATAACCTAGCATGCTAAATGTTTTTTATTGTATAACCCATCATGCTAGATATCTTATACACTACTAAATATTGTTTATACATAAGCTTTAAAGGCACATAAAGTCTCAGAAATGTGTACAATTTTTCCTGTGAAAAAAGGTCAAACCCAAATCATGTGAAGATCATGTGAAGAAAACAGCAATGCTAGGGAATAATTTGAGCCGCGCAACAACAAAACCAACGTAATGCGTTTGCGACCAGCATGGATCAAGACCAGCCTGGGCATCCGTTGGTTTTGTCATGACGCGGCTCATATGCTTTTGAGAGATAGTGGATATTGAATGAGTGTAAGTTTAATACTGAATTTATTGAATGAGTTAAGTAGAATTATAATATGCGAGTCTATGGCGATCATAATATGATTTTTAGCTCGACTTTTCTATGAAAAGGGGAGCTATCCTACTCGCCCCGGCGTCGGCGTCGGCGTCGGCGTCGGCGTTAGCGTCGGCGTTGGCGTCACACCTTGGTTAAGTTTTTCGTACCACCCCACTTTATTTCAGAAGTATTACAAGTATGGCTTTGAAACTTACCATACTTGTTCACCATCATAACCTCCATCTACAGACAAGAGTACATAACTCTGTCAAGGTTTTTGACAGAATTATGGCCCTTTTTTGACTTAGAAAGTGTATTGAGCTTGGTTAAGTTTTTTGTACCACCTCACTTTATTTCAAAACCATTGGAGGTATTGCTTTGAAACTGACCATACTTGTTTACCATCACGACCTTCATCAACAGACAAGAGGACATAACTCTGTCAAGGTTTTTGACAGAATTATGCCCCTTTTGACTTAGAAAATACATTGAATATGGGTAAAATCCACTTATTGCCTTAACCCTTTGAGATATTGCTTTGAAACTTTTAATGCTATTTCACATCATTACCCCCATCTGTACGCAAGAGAAGGTAACTCTGTCAAGGATTTGTTTTAAAAATTAAGGCCTTTTATCGACTTAGAATCTTGGTTAAGTTTTTAGTACCAGTCCACTTTTTGACTGAACTGTTTGAGATATTAATTTGAAAGTTGGAATACTTGTTTACAATCATGATTCCCAAACATGTCCAGGAGAAGGTAATTCTGTCAAAGATTTTATTTGAATTATGGCCCTTAACTGTCAATGTTTTGTATTATAGGCAAGCACTAAAAAACTTAAAAAATCTAAAAAAAATCATTCCTATCCACTTGTTCACTTTACCATAAATTATGTCATATAAACATTGCTGTAATATTCAAGGGTATCAAACAACTAGTTCACTTTAAAAATACAGAGATTCTTGTATTGCCTTTTACTGCAAAAACTTTTTTTATTGGCAAGCAATAAAAAAGTCGAGCGCGCTGTCTTACGGACAGCTCTTGTATTAATTAAGTTCAATAAATTCAGTAATGAACTTACACAAATTTAATATTCCATTTATCACATACCAAAAATATTGACAATTTTAAGTCAAAAAGTAACATTTTTCATTGATTCACCTGTAGTGTAATGCTAATATTTAGTGTGTCTTAAGGGTATGTTTATATACAATGCAAATGATGTCACATCAAATATGCACAGCCATGCAATACCATTTTTACGGAGTCGCAAAAATGGCACGGGTATATGATAAATAAAAAAAGCAACTTTCAGGACTTTATGGGCCTTTTATTTGTGGTATGTTACTTGTTGTTCCGGTTTGAAATTTCTTTTGATGTCTTGTATTTTGTGTTATTTTTTCAATTATTTATTTAAGATTAATCAAAATCATGTCAGCATCCTGCCAAAAATTGTTTTCATAACATGAGCTGCGTCATGACAAAACCAACATAGTGTATTTGCGACCAGCATGG